TCAGGGGGTAGGAAAAGAGCAGGTTAAAACACTCTCTCTGCTTGGTGACCTATAATGATAATTCCAGCATAAGAGCTTGCAGGCTCTGTGTTTTTAACATGTGCCTAGATAGGTTTACAAATGCAGGATGCTAGAGAGAATCCAGTGGAGACTGATTTCATTCTTCTCTAAGGTCTGTTCTAGCCCAGCGCCTTGGGTGTAAGATTCATAAGGGAAGGTCTCTTCCTCGGATTCACCAAGGCCAAACCTCTAAGTATGTTCTATATTCCATTATGACTCATTCCATGGACACTGTCAGTGAGGTCACATCTAGTTTTCTCAAGACAATGACAAAGCTTAATGCTGTTTTCACTCTCAGAGGAAGGGTACTGAAAATATCTGGGCTCAGAGACCCACCTCTGATACTTACTAGCTTGGGTAGCCTCTCTAAACCTCAGTTTCCTTTTCTGTAAAATGGGGTTTATAATGACTCTAGCATCTTCCTCTTAGGGTTGTTGTGGGACTGAAATGAGATAATGAATGTAAACCGCTCTATAAACTTTATAGCTTTATATAAATGTCAATGATTATTTTGATTCCAAGTTCTTTTATTTTGGTTGCTTTCTTGGGGACCCTAAAAGACACTGATAGCCCTTCTTTTCAAAGTCTTTGGGGGGCAAGTAATGCATGTATTTTATTTATATTTAGAAAAATGGTGTATAACCCCATAATCTTACACATTGTCTATAGTCAAGATCATCCTTGGTATGAATCATAAGGAGAGGCTGATAGATGTGACTTGGGAGGTATATTTATTATGGCCTAAGTTGAGAGGGAAAAGGCTCATGGAAATGGGGCTGAGAGAATATTAGTTTTTCCAGAGAGAAAGGGATGATAATGATAATGGTGACAATTGCTAGCATTTATACAGAGTTCACTATATGAAGACATTTTCCAACTATCTCATTTTGATCTCACAACAACCTTGTATGAGAGATGCTGTTATCATTTCCAATTTCAGTTGAGGAAACAAAGACAGAGAATGGTTAAGTGCCCAGGGTCACACAGCTAGTAAGTTTCTGAAGTGAGATTCTAACCCCAGGTCTGGAGCTCTGTCCACTGTGCCATCTAGCAGCCTCTGACTTAAAAATGGGGAAACTATCAAGCAGTCTTGAAAGCAAGGTTGAAACATCTGAATTTCATGAAGGAAATGATAGTCACAAAGAAGTTTAGAGGTAGGTGACTGGCAGAGAGGAACGGTTATTTTTTGAATGACATTTTCTCAGTTGCATGGGTTTGATGAAATGCATTCTTATGTAATGCATGTGAGAGACTTGCCATCATTTGAGCAAGAGATAGCTCTTCTATGATGAAAAGTCAAAGGTGGAGGTTCAAAGATGAGGTATAGAAATGACAGTATTTTAATCACTGCCTAAATGAAAGGAGGCAGAGAGAATGAATAATGATATATTTGGGCCCCTCACAAGTTCCAAGGATTAAGTTCACAGACAGCTCAGAAGAGAAAGATGAAATCAGTCTTCTTCAAGTCCAATTTAGGATAACAATGAGAAATTCAAGGGAAAAATATTAACAGAAGAGGCAGGATGGAAGAGGGAGAGAGAGAGGGAGAGGGAGAGGGGGAGGGGGAGAGGGGGAGAGAAAAAAAGAGAGAGAGAGAGAGAGAGAGAGAGAGAGAGAGAGAGAGAGAGAGAGAGAGAGAGAGTGAGCTAAGGATTCTAAAGGTAGGGCTTAACCTGGGGACCATGTGCTTGGTTTTTTTAAAAAAAATTTGATAACTATATCCAGAATTGGTTTCTTTGTAAGCCAAAATGTACCTACAAACATGATTCTAATGAGGGGTCCTTTAGGCTTTACCAGGTTGCCAAAGGGGTCCACAACACCAAAATGATTAAGGTCTGCACTAGAGCAATGGAATCTCCCTGTGGGATGGGAAGGTTTTTGTAACCTCACTGCTCTGTGTCTAGATGTCATCTAAGTGACATTTGTTAAACTGGACTGAAACAGAAGATTCTGTGGTTACACACACAGGCCCATCCAAATCAATAGCCATAACAGATTAAACTCTAGCCTAGAAAGATTTTAGACAGAGAGAGCATGTAAGTTCAATCCTCTTTCCTAGATACAACTAGGAAGGCTGGGGATGTGTAATTTTTAATGGCTGCTGGACCCAGGAGGCATTCTATAGAGGACTTTTTATCCTTGGAATGCCCCCTTCATAGGTGGACACTCAAAAGTTTCACTGATCTCTGGGGAAAATATCAGAACTATTTTTATTCAGGCTTCTTCCAGAAGTGCAGTGTTGAGTGAGGCTGGGAATACAGGAGGCGATTATTGTGATGATGTATGGGATTTTGGGAAGCCTCAGTGAGGCTGGATTACTGGCTGCCTGTGGCCTATCAGTCAGTCAATCAATATCATTTCTTCAGGGTCCACTCTCTACCAACTAATTAATGTATTTTTGGAGAGGTAAAGAAATGAAAAGGAACAAAATTGTGGCCGTGGGGAGGAGAGAATGAATAAAAATGAAAATAGAAGTAAGAATTGACAGTGGTTAGTTAAGAACACTGCCCTATCCAATACCCCCTACACAGATTTGTAAGTGCTGCGAGGACTGCTAGAGTGATCAGATGAAATGGGACCAGGGTAGAGCGAAGAGGGCTCTGAAGAGTAAAGAGTATGAAAAATATCACTACAATGAGGGTTAGGAATGGGCAAAAAAGTTCCAGGGAAGAAATAAGCAGATGCCATGTTAGGGCCAGAATGAATGAATAAATGAAAGAAAAAATTTATTAAGTGCTCACTCTGTGCTGAGCACTGTCCTAAGTGAAGGGGATAGGATACCAATGCAAAAGTGAAGCAAGTCTCTCCCTTCAAGGAGCTTGCGTTTTAAGAGAAATTAGCCTTATTTGTTTGAAGTAGGACCATAAATTGGAGAGTAACAGAAGGAAGCACATGATAAGAGGAAAACTACTCCAACTACCTCATACTGTAACAGTAAAGTCATAGTTTAAATAAACCATGGTTTATTATACTCTCTATAAATATAAGGTGTCCCAAAAGTCTAGTGTAGCTTTAAACTTTGATAGCATAAATGAAATTTAGGCTATGAATGTAATTTAATTTGCTAAGTCATTGGGACACCCTACATTATATATTTCATTTCATTCTCATTTCTAGCCTTTTCTTTCAACACCATCAATACAAAAGCCATACTCAATAATCACTGTTATGTGAAAGGAACTGGAGGCACAGTAATAGAAGCTACTTTTTAAAAATGGAAATACATAATTTGTAACCAAGACTGTGAAGACTGGGGGAAGTTATTGTGGCTGAGACTGGGAGTGGAGAGGTAGAAGGAGGATCACTAAATGTGGATTCATAGGCAGGCAAGTGATAAACACCAGCAACTTTTATTTCACTGAGAGTGAGAAAATGGAAACAGAGGTTATCTTAATGAGGTAGAAAACACTGAACCATTTATTTCAGAGACCAACAGGCACAAAGGGTGTAGAAGTCCTTAACGTACCAGAAGGGGCCAGAGCTTAAGGCATACGGAGCCTAGGATGAGGACCATGGGCAAAGCATAACAGGATGGAACCGTTAATACCATTTAAATAAAATTCAGAAGCCCTACTGAGAAGGTAGGAAAAACAATTCCTTTTTCTAGTAAGATCTTATGGGAGGAACTTTGGGTCTTTTCTCTGAGACTGTCCTCAAGGAAATTGTAGAAAGAAGGGTATAAACAGGAATAGACACTAAGTGCTTTCTTGCTATTCATCCCTATAGCAGGGAGATTTCCACTATTATCCCCATCCAGTGGGGGGAAATACCTTGTCGAAGAAAACGATTCCTCTAGATTTATTCTCTTCTGGCTTGCTAGTCTCCAAAAGAGAAATGTGAAAGACCAGTCTTGGCCCCTTTAATTTCAGAGGGTTGAATTGGTTGGCCAAAATACTCTTCTCTTCTCTTAGCAACACTCCCGGTTTTCCTAATCCTTGCTTTCTGTTCATCTTTTTCTCCCTCTTTGCTATAGACACTGACATCATTTCACTATTTGTGTAGCTTGGTTTCAGTTCTTCCTTTCAAGGAATTTTAATGTGGTCCATGATGTGCCTACCACTCCATGTCTTATCTGATAGCTCTGTCTGTCAGCCTTCCTCATGGGGACAGCAGTAAGGTGACCATTCCCTTGGTGGATTTTAAGGCTTCAAACTGTACATGCAGGACATCACTGCTGCAAAACAATGGGGCAGCAACTCAATCTTATTTTTAAAAAACGGGAAAAATCTGGGCCAAAACAACCAACCTCAGGGGAAGAAAAACACCCCACCCTCAAACAAAGGAAAGTAATAGGACATGAGTAATGTAGTAGCTGTTAGAGAGGCATATATGAAATCTATGGTCTGCACTTTACCCTGTCAAAGGCAGTTATGAAAGATGTAATTTAATTTGCTTCAAAAAACCCATAAAAAGGCAGATTGGATAGCTGTATTTTAGCAAATGTGTTTGCACTAAGGGTACCTTCTGTTGAACAGTTCTGCCCACAAGCTGTCTGTAGAATATAGAACATCTCTCGAGCATGCTTGCCACCTTGAAGCAGGGCAGTCGGGAGCAGAAAAAAAAAGAACAGAATGCAGAAAAAAAGGTGAAGAAAAGAGAGAAATGAAGGACAGCAAGTCTAAGTACCATCAATACATTTAGAAATGAGATTAGCAAAGTGTGACAATAGAATTTAAATGACACACAGAAAGACATTAAGATTGCAGTAAATAACATACTATGAAAAAAATTCAGCCAAAGAGCGCTTTCTGTTCAGCTTAGCTACAGAATCATAATGAAAGCACAAGTACATATTAATTCATTTTACTGGTTCATTTGCATTCTAGCACTAAAAGGCTATTTAAATCTTAGTTCTAATGGTTAGTCTTCTGGCTAGCAAATCCAAAAAGCCAATGACTACATTACTTAATACCTATAATACCTTCAGTACTGGGACTTACCAACTACATCAAACCACAGAGGTATATTGGCTGGTTGTACAGACACCACGCCCACAATTTCTGTCACTCTATCACTTTCCATGACAGTAAAGTTATAGAATGGCTCATCAAAGGTCAGAGGCACAGGGGAAGGAGGCGGTTTCTTAATCCATTCGATGTGGAGGCGGGCGGTGGAGGACTTCTGAGGACGTCCATTGTCCACTGCTTTGATCTAATCACATGTGGAGAGAATATAGAAGATGGCTCAAAGCCCTGATCTGCTGTTGATTTGGGATTTCCTGATAACAACATACACATTTACCTCCATCAGTATGGCAAAAAGAGAAGAAAATTCACCTACTTGTCCTTCAGGAAGAATCCACTCCATGTTGATCTGAAGGCCCTGTGTTTAAGAATGTGAGAAACTCCAAAACAAATAACATGTGGGCATGTGGGTACAAGCAATGAGAACGAGAATGGGATGGGCCAATCTGGTTCTCTGAGAAATGTGATTTCCTGGACAACAAGAAAGTTGACTAGAATGATGTGAATCTACACATTTGTTGGGGGCGGTGCTTAGAACCTTCTAACTACCCTTCCTCCTGCTTCATTCTGTGGGTGTACTCTACTCATGTACAGTCTTAGAAGGAAGGAGCTTCCAGATGGACATATCAGGGCATATAGGCTATTGCCATGGAGGAGTGATGATTCTGTGTCTAGGAGAGGAGAAGCTTGTGAAGAGTCCAATAAGAACTGGACTATGCAAAGTCTGCAGTGGTGTAATTGAATTATGTCAGCCATTATATACACTCCTGACAGCTAGGGAATTATTTTCCCCTTTGGATGGTCACAAGCCCTGACTCAAAGACAGAATAAAGAATGCATTTTCCCACTGTGAACTGGAAAGGAAGACTCCTAAGATTTCCTTGATACATGAGAGAATTAAGTCTGGTAATGAGGAGTAGAACACTTAGAAATGAAAATACCAAATAGAATAAAAAAATTCAAATCACTCAAAATAAACAAAAAGTCACATACAAATATCACATTGTTCTATAAATTTTTTTCAGTTGTGGACTGGGAATAAGTATACCAAGATTTGAAGCCTGGTTCCAATACTAACTAGCTATATGACCATGGGCAAATCACTTGAGCTTAGAATTGAGAGCTGGAAGGGACTTTACAGATTAGCTTACAACCTCCTTATTTGATGGATGGGGAATTTGAGGAAAAGAGAGGTAAAGTGGCTAATCCAAGTTCTCAGAAGTCTCAGTTATCATAGTATACCAGTTTTAGAGTTGGGAGGAACTTGGGAAGTCTGTTAGTCCAACCTTCTCATGAGGACTTAGGTGGCACAGTGAATAGAACACCCTCCTGGAGTCAGAACACTTACCTTAAATTCAAATCTGGCCTCACACACTTATTAGCTGTGTAACCCTGGGCAAGTCACTTAACTCTGTTTACCTCAGTTTCCTCATTTGTAAAATGAGCTAGAGAAGAAAATGGCAAATCACTCTAGCATCTCTGCCAAGAAAACCCCAAATGGAGTCATGAAGATTCTGAAATAACTGAACAACAACAAATTTGGGTCCAAGGAGAGGAAGTATGATTTGCCCAAGATCACACATGTAGAGCAGATCACATACTTGGCCTCAGATCTTCTAATTATAGATTTAGAGTACTTTCTACTTGAGCTCTCTAAGTGTCCTATTTTTTTTCCATTTATAGAATGGGTAAAATTTTTTTTTACCTACTACCTCACAGAATCCTTGTGAGGAAAATATTTTGAAAAACTTTGTGGAAAACACTGTGAAAACTAAAAAAGTGTAAGCTATTACTCTGCAAAAACTAAGCACTGCAGATAAAATTTATACACTTTGCTTCCTTGGGTATAAAGTAGCTGTCTATCCTTCACACAATCCCTGTGAAGTAAGATACTCCCCATGGTTTAGCCATGTATCAATTATCCTTGGAAAGAGGGAACGTAGTTAGCAAGAATATAGGCACACACTAATTGGCTGTGTGAAAACACAAAGATAGGTAAAGCACTGTTATGTGGGACAAGTGGAATGTGGGGTAAAGGAACTACCTGACAAATTGCATAGTTAGCAGACGTTGAAATGAGTTAAAATCAATGGGGCTTACATGTTAGCTTAGATGGTTGCCCATCATTTGAACTGTAACTTAGATGATTTGCTAGATAATATTAATATGGGATTTGGTTATAATGCATCTATTAGTGATGTTATTGGGAACCTACATTAGTCAGGACAATGCCATTCATGCAGATAGCACCTTTACCTGAAATTCACAGATTTAAAAAAGAAAAGCCACAGCATCAAACATTTCATCAGAGCAGATGGAACAGAATTCAGGTTTTGGCATTTGCTCCTTTTACTTTCTCTGAACACCACTCAAAGGTAGGTAAGGAACAAAGAGAAGCCCATCCTGCCAAACTAATCAAGAGCTGACTGCATAGCCAAGGGTATGTAGACCAGAAAGAATAGATTTAAAAGGAACTTAGTGAATGCACACCTGAAAGCAGGAAGATCACAGATTTAGTGTTGAAAGGACCTTAGAAGCCAACTAGTCCAGATCCTTCATTTTATACAAGAAACAGACTCAGAAAGATTAATTTGCCCAAGGTCATACAGCACATAAGTGGAAGAGCTAGAATTTGGATGTCCCCTGATTGTAAATCTAGCACACTTTCCAGTGTACTACAGTGCCTCTTGGAGGGAAAGATTAGAATGAATTTCTTTCACATTGAGGTCTGTTTAGCATTGACTTAGTCTACCAAGTGACACTTGCCAATTGTGAATATAACCAATTACCCTCTGTTGTCAAAATGGGAATGAGGATGCAGTTACGTGTGTGAAGCTGGGGTGGAAAGGAGGGAAGTGAGTGTTTTCGCATGTTGGTCTAAGGGGACTGTTGGAACACTAGAGAAACGATGCAGAAGAAGCTACAAATTATTTTATGCCATAGTATCCAACATGGAGGCATCAGTGAAGCTTCCAGAAACATCACAAATCAGTGGAGAAGCCAAAAGCAGTACTTATTTATATGTCTTTGTCTTCCAGATCAGCATTTCTTTTCATATGTAATATGGCACTATTTATTGTAGAGATTTACTGTATACAAGAATATACACATGCATATCTCTATGACTTTTAAAATGAATGAGAAATTGTATGAGAAAAAAAAACCAGACACATACACATAACACACATCCACCCATCCATCCATCCCCTCCCCACAACCCGTAACAACCACACACATACACAGAGGCATTTCTCTGATTTGGAATTTAGAAAGTCTTACTGTGAGGATGTCGTAACTCCCTGCTGTAAATTGCTTCCTGGAAGAGACCATGCCAGTTTTAGGGTCAATAAAGAACTTCCCATCATCATTTCCATCTATGATGCTGTAGGATATTTCTGCATTGGGACCTTCATCTTTATCAAATGCAAAAGCCCTGTAAATTGGTTCTCCTCTTTTCTTTCGGTCCCGCTCTGGCAGCTTGATTTGATAGACTTTCTCTGGAAACTGAGGCTTATTGTCATTTTCATCCAGAACCTGAACCACGACCCAAACTGTCGACTGCTTTGGAGAAGAACCACCATCGGTCACGGTCACCTGAAGCAGGAGAAAATTAGAGCTATGCAGAGTTAAGGTGTTGGTGCACTCTTCACTATAAATTTACTTAGAAAAACCAAACGCAAAGCATTTAGCAAAACATCTTTTCTTCCCACACCTCAGGCATCTCATACCCACTGATTAAAACTGCTGTACAATCACTCCTCTCCTTTGTATAAGGGTTTAAGGTTTGCAAAGCGCCTTTCTCTCAACAGCGCAGAGAGGCAGACAGTGCAAAATGTTATTAAGCCTCATTTTACAAATCTAATTCAATCTACATTTAGTAGGTGTCTACTATCTGCAAAACCCTAGGGATACAAAGACAAATGCAAAATAATCCCTGTCCTCAAGTAGTTCATATTCTTGGGGGGAGGGGGGGAAGTTTACAACCTATATATGGAGAATAATTATGATTCAAATGTAGATAAAAGATTAAGAACAGGTAAGGACCTTAGAAGACATCTGGTCCAATGCCCTTAGATAAGGCAATAGAGGCTTTGAGGGGTAGAGTGATTTGCTTATAAGGGCAGGTCTCTATAACCCAGGACTCCTGAGCTAAATCTGGCATTCTAGCCACTGTCCCATGTTGGCGGGAGGGAGAGGGGACACACTACTCTAATCAATTGAAGGGAAGGGAAACAGGCATATCTAATACAAAGATAAGTTTGGTTTTAATAATGAAAGGAAGTGAACAGAGAGAAGGAAACGCACATTTGGAATCCAGCAACCACGAATGAAAGCTAACACTACTAAGAGCTCAGGTTTAGAGGAGAAGTGGCCCACTCCCACTGCTCCCAGGTGAATGGACAAGTTAGATTCTTTGAAAGAGGGTGACAGGTCATGAATTACTAGAGTGGGACTTCAGGAGAGAAGGGAACCTGGTAGACAGGATGATCAGCCCTTCCTTGAACTAGGTCAGTCTGACCAGAATGGTGAAGTTCTGCCTTGGAGAAACAAAGGTAATGTTGTCTTTGCAATCACTAGCATATTCTAGCATCATAATAGCTGACACCTAAAAAGGGCCTGGAGGTTTGGAAAGTGCTTTGCTTGCATTTTCTCATTAGAATCCCACAATACAACCTAGAGCTAATTACTATTGCTTATTATTCTCCTTTTCAGATGTGGAGACCGAGGCTCAGCTAGGTTGAGTGATTTCCCTATAATAAGAGTTTACTAAATGATATAAAATGGATTTGAACCCAGGAAGTTCTGACTTCTAGACCAGTACTCTATCCACTCACTAGACCAGCCTTTAATTGCTACTTTTGTTGAGGTTTAGGGGTGCTGGGACCCCAAAATCATGGCAAGCGGGTCCTGCCTAAAAGAATTCAACCCAAGCCTTCTTTCAGCCAAAAACAAGGTTTATTAAAACATTTGTCATATTGGGCAGACTCTTAAGGAATCTGAGCATTGGCTAGATTATAAGAATCTGAGCACCTTAATGGAGACAAGATGGATCTTACATACAGAAAGACTGTGGGAGAGATCTAGGAGTGGCCAAATAGTCTGTGGGGACTGTGAGGTAATAGAATGCCAGGGGCCTGGATCCTGTGGCCAAGGAAGAAGCCTGGCTAGGATTAAGGGAGGGAAGTGGCTGGGGGCCAGAGGGAGGTAAGACAATGTAGGGTTAGGCTAGGTTAAAGCTAACAGAGAATTGGGAGACTGGGCTTAAAAAAAAAAAAAAGGCCAGAGGCAGCTAGGTGTAGTAGATAGAACACCTGCCCTGGAGTCAGGAGGACCTGAGTTCAAATGTGATCTCAGACACTTGATACTTACTAGCTGTGTGACTCTGGGCAAGCCACTTAACCCCGACTGCCCCCCCAAAAAAAGCCAGCTGATGGGACTATAGCCTCAGGGAGAATGCCAGAGATTTGGCCAGGTGGGAAAGTCCAGGGTTTTTCCTTTCTGGGGTCCCAACCTCAGCACTTTAATAGCTACTTCCTTAGAACTTCTGGTAATTCTTATTTGTTCACTATAAGCTATTCTGGAAGAATCTGTCATTCTTTTATTCATTACCTTGAATTAGACAGCTCATTAATCCAAAATATGTTTTCTGAGGCTCTAATGAACACAAAGATGCATTTGGCAACAAGAAAAAAAAATAGTACTGGTGAATTTCAGCCAATTTCTGTAGTATTTCATCAGATAAAATAATTTGACAGCACTCAATGAAAAAAGGGGAAATATGTGGGAAAATGAACGGAGGACTTTATGTTTTTCCTCCTAAATAGGTTGGCTAACCATTTCTGTTTCTCTAGAGCATTGGAAAGGGGGTGGGGATTGTGGGAAGGGTGGCACTATTGGACTTCAGATAAACAAACTCTTACTATGGGCTTCAATAATGAGCCTTCTCTGAAAAAAATCAATCAAGTTTCCTTCCTTTCAAAGCTTGTTCCCCCATCTGGGGACATTTCCCAGAACACATGAGGCAGGAGTAGATATGAAAGAAGGCTGGAGTTTTTGCTTTTTGGTTAATTCTTTGACATGCTGACTCCTGGAGTGGTACTACCCGCTGGTGGCAGTGAGCTCGAAACGTTACACTTGCAAGTCTAGCTGTGCTAACCATTACACATTGATTACTTTGCTGCTTAACTACTCCGTGGTCTTTTTCTACTTAAATATCCCTGCCTAACATTTAGACAACCCCCGCTGTCCATCCACAGAGTACAAAATCACCTTCTCATCACCTATCAATAATGCCCTGCAGTTGAATTCAAGATGTAGCACTGCAGAGTTAGTGGGAACAGTGTCTGTGAGAAAGGATTTCCACAGAGAAGACGAGATTACATTAACAATGTTTCACCCCCTTCCAGGATTCTCTCTTCAGTCTCAGCTGTTGCTGGCATTTAGAACTGTTTCTAGGCAAAGATCTTGATTTACAAACCCAGGTTCTGGAATCCAATCTGCTGACAAGAAAGCTCACAGTTGAATGGGTTTTAGCCAAGAGGGAAGCTTCTGCTATACTCTGAACTGATTTTCAGAGGAGGGTAGAGGCAGAGCATTGAATGAATGGTCAGAAATCTGAGGTCCTAATCCAGGTCCTGCTATGCGGCAACCTCCTCTACTCTATTTCCAGGTCTTTGATCCTACGAAACGTGCTGCTTCTGTGGTATATATGGGGCCTTCATTTTTACCACTGACCGCCTTAGGATGTGTACTTAGTAGCAGGATCTCTGGAGAGGTAGCTAGATGGCTCAAGGGATTAGAGTGCTGGGCCTGGAGTTAGAAAGACCTGAGTTCAAATCTGGCCTTAGATACTTACTAGTTGTGTGACCCTAAGCAAGTCATTTAACTTCTGTTTGCCTTAATCCACTGGAGAAAGAAATGGCAAATTACTCCACTATCTTTGTCAAGAAAACCTAATGGACAGTAAGGTTCCTGGGGCCATGAAGAACTGAACAACACCAAGGATCTCTGGGTCTAAGGCTATAGATACTGTCATTCAGTATAATTCTAAACTGCCTTTTCAGAATGTTTAGGCCAGTTCACTGAGCCATTAATAGTTGATAACAACATTCCTTCCAACACTGATGGGTCTTATCTTTTATTATACTGCTCTGCAGAGCACAGTACCTTCATCTCACAAAATTAGGAGCCATGCATAGAACTAAAGTGACACAAGTGCATGGGATTTCAATTTGGAATTATGAAGGAAAAACTAAGGCATCTGTTACCTTGGTCTCAGCCATTCCACAACTGGACACACAGTCTAAGGAAGTGTTATCGTGCCTGGCACATAGTAAGTGCTTAATAAATGCTGGCTAGCCACCTGCCCAACTGAAGACAAAGACAGAAACGTCCAACATGGGCCAAAATCTTAACCCCCTTTACGAAAGCAAAGAAATGGAAACACACTGGGGGAGAGGTTGTTTGAAGAATAGCTGAAAAATGTAGGATATGTATGTCTCATTATTCAATAGCAAATATGAGGAATTCAGAGAAACACAGGAAGATTTATAGGAACCGATATAGAATAAAAGAAGCAGAACCAAGTGGGTAATATATACAAGGGCTATAATAATGTGAGCAAGCTGATTGTTAAAGGAAACTGAACTCTGAGCAACTGAAAAACCAGTGAAGGCACCCTAGGGGAGAGAGAACAAACCTGCTTCTTCCATCATGGCAGAAAGATGGGCGAACCATGAAGACAGAACCTTATGCACATTCCCATGTAAGATGCCTCCATCAAATGTTTTTGCTTAACTGTTATTGTCATAGGGGAGGGTTCAATTTAGCTAGAAATGATTGTGATGCAAAGAAAATTAAGATGTCATTAAAATATAAAAATAGAGGAATGGGAATCAACACTTCCTGATAAGAGGGGGCCGAAAGAATCAGTGTCATCATTTTTATGATTATGCTACATTGGCCTGGGCATGTTGCAAGGAAGGGAATTCATTTTTGGAGAATTATGGGAAACAAATTCCTACCTGTTCTCTTTATCCAAGGTGCTATTATTACTATTTTTTTTTTTTGCAAAAAATCACTTTCAGTGTCAGAGTAGGGGCAAGCCAGTGTCACCTGAAATGTTGATGCAAACACTCTAGAGTTGTTTGGTACCTCTGTTTCATTTCTTGCCAATCCCTGAGAAGTCTCCTCCACAGCCAAAGATGATTTTCAGCCATTTTCAAAGCTTAGTAGTTTTCATTTACTAACCTCAAAGGGAAATGGATATAAATGTCCCATTATTAATTCCCTCAGGCCAGCTTGTCTGCCCTGGCCACATTTTACACCAGGCCTAATAACCATGAAAGATTTCATCAGATTCCCAGACTTCATTTTAAATGCTGTCCTCTTTCTCAGTCTACTGGATGAAATTAGCCCCTAGTGAAGGAATAACAGTCAGATTCAAAGCATTGAGGTTTTAAGAACAATTAGCCAAGAAAAATGCCCATTATCCTTCATAAATAACAGAAGAAATTGACTATTATTTAGGGATGAGTCAAGTTCTTTTTATCCTGATTTAGGTGGCCCGAAGTTCACTCACCCAATTTCAGGCT